ACAGTCAGCCAGGCTGCTCACAGACAGGGTGTCTACACAGTCAGCCAGGCTGCTCACAGACAGGGTGTCTACACAGTCAGCCAGACTGCTCACAGTCGGGTGTCTACACAGTCAGCCAGGCTGCTCACAGTCAGGGCGTCTACACAGTCAGCCGGCCACCATTGCCCAGCAGTGGAGATGGTGAAGTCAGAGGTGACGGGGGTCTTTACTTGGGGAAGCTTCTTTAACGCGTGCTCATAGTTTAGCGACAAGGCTAAATTGTCGATGTCGGTGAGCCCTTCTGTGGGATCCCCCAGACCCGCACGCCCCGTCACCCAACGTGCCTGAGGCTGGGATGGTCACCGCCCTCAGAGGCATCACTGAGGAGACGGGGCAGGCCCCCCCCACCCCCGCTGTCTGGTGGTTGGAGCCGTGGCCGCGGGGGCGCCTGGAGGGAGGGTGTCTGCAAGGCCAGGGCGTGACACGCAGGCGCTGGACAGCCCTGGTGGTGAGACCGGCGGCCGGCGGTGGACTGTGCATGGGACCAAGGGTGAGGAGGAGCCGCGCACAGGAGGTGCTCCGGGAGTCCCTCCTGAATCCCCATCCTTATAACCCGTGACCTCACGATAATGGATGTTTCCAGATGCGTGGATACGTGGTCCTGCCGCAGGAAGGACCCCCTTGATGGCGCTCCTCTTAGACTCTCTCCTGGTTCTCACGCAGCTCCCCCCGGCGCCCTGGTGTGCCTCGGCTCCCTTGTGCTGATGACCGTCCCTCTCTGTGTGCCTCCCGCCCGTCTCCGGGGCGGCCCCAGCGCCCTTGCTCTTGGGTGGCCGGCCCGTGGTCACACCACAGGGGCTAAGCCCACGCTGTCAGGGGCAGGTCTGGTTTCCGGGCCAGTTTCCCGGCCCGGAACACTGCAGGCTCCCCGCGGGAGCACCCAGGAGGGCGGCCGTCCGGGGCTGTGCGACCGAGGCTGGGTCTGTGCCGTGGCCACGGACACAGACGGCACACACGGAGTCTGCGGCAGCACCAGCGGACTCTGACGGCCCGGAGGCCAGAGTCTGGAGCGTTCTCAGGGGCTAAAACCAAGGTGTGGCCGGGCTGGGTCCTCCCGCAGCGCCCGCACAACCTGCTCGCTGTCCCGCCCAGCCGCTAGCGGACCACCTGCTCCGTGGGGCATCTACAAGGTCAGTTGAACTGCTCATAGACGGGGCGTCTACACGGTCAGCGGGCTACCGTTGCCCGGGAGAGAGTGAGTCGGAGGGGACGGTGCTCCAAGCCCGCAGCACGGTGCCCCGCTTCCCACGGCCTCGTCTTCCGCGGCAGCCCTTCCTCTCCCTCCTCCCAAATCCCTGGGATGACGCGAGCCCACCCGGCCAATCCAGGACGGCTCCCATTGCAAGACCCTCAGTTCACCCCGTCTGGGAAGCCGCCTCGCCTGTAGGGCTGTATCCACCAGTTGTGGGGATGAGGACGTGGACATCTCTGGGGCCACGGAAGTTACCCACAAAGCCCTGTCCCCCCGAATGGGAGAAAGAGGAGGTATACTCTTCTAGGGAGCGTACACTTTTAATTTTTAGACCAGGTTGGCTCCGCATATTAATTGCTGAGCAGGAGACCTTTTTACCTAAAAGGGGTCAGATCAGAAAGTTAAGGATTCGCCCTCAGTCCCACCCAGCAGAGTAAGAAATAACCTCACTGGTTCAAGGGACAAAGTGGGACAAAGGAAGCCCTGGGGGCCCATCAGGCTGAGCTAGGAGCGTCCACTTGCCCAAGAAGCCACCTTTGAGTGCTAAGTGCCCTGTGCACGGCCATCTGGTAACCTGTGGCTTCTCCGCAGAGGGAGCTTTCCTGGATTCTGGGAGCTCCTGGAGGAAGCAGTTTAGGGAAAGGCGCTAAGGGACACCGCACACACTCGGGTGGACTTCGAATGCACTCTGGGATTTATTAGACCTTTGTGTTGGTGGCTGCGAGCCTGGGCACTCCGCACCAGCCAGGTGGGTGCTGGGTGAATGGCCCAGGCCAGGACCAGGGACACTGGGGACGACTCTCCGCCTGATTAGCTGTAAGATGGTCAGCCGGGTCCAGAAGGTCTGAAGTGGATGATGTCTGGGCCGCCTGGTAGGAGTTCAGAGAGCAGCCACTTCTGACCGCACAGAGGAGGGGTCCTAGGAGGCCATGGGCTCAGCTGCAATTAGGGGTGCCGCAGGGGACAGGCCTGCAGACCAGGGTGGGGCAGGAGGGCTGGCAGCCCCCAGAGGACTGGCAGGAGGGGGCCACATACACAATGGGCTTGCAGCTCACGGGCAGGCACACAGCAGGCTTGTAGCTCATGGGCACGCAGCAGGACGTCTGGCAGGAGCTGGGCACACAGCAGGACATCTGGCAGGGGCTGGGGGTGCAGCAGGACGTCTGGCAGCTCACAGGCACGCAGCAGGTCACCTGGCAGGGACTGGGCACGTAGCAGGACGTCTGGCAGGAGCTGGGGGTACAGCAGGACGTCTGGCAGCTCACGGGCACGCAGCAGGACGTCTGGCAGGAGCTGGGGGTGCAGCTGGCCTGCTGGCAGCCCGTGGAGCAGCTGGTGAAGTACATGGCGGTGTGGGGCTGGAGTGGAGTCAGGGTGGAGGACAGGGCTGGTCCGGAGGTTCCTTCCCCAGGCAGCCTTTATACCCGGGCTGTGGCATCCTGGCAACAAGCCACACATGTGCCTTCCTCCTGGTTGCCTGATTGTTTGCCTCCTCCTCCTCCTCCTCTGTGCGTCTCTTCCTGGAGTTTCTGGGGGAAGTGACTCGGTTCAGGAAACTCTGCAACAGCTGGAGGCTCAGTGTGACCCAGCAGCCCTGTGATATCTGGACTCAGAGCCCAGGTTGGATGGTGAAGGACCATCAGCTGGGGATAGGAGACCCCACATCAGGATATTCAAGGTCCTCCCCAAGCTTACATACCCTGTCCTCTGACCACATAAGCACCATCCTGCTTGCCAGACCAGGGGTCCCCCGTTTAGATTTGGAAACTCCGTGATCCAGAAGGTCTTCCCAATGGACCAGAGCCAAGCAGCTGGGCTCCTCACTGGGGACAGCCGTGGCCATGTCATCTACCATGTCATCCAGTCCCAGCTTTGTGCCCGGCACCATGCTAAGCCTTTTACCTGGATCAGCTCATCACTGACTAGTCACCAATCCTTGCTGCCATCCAAGGGATAGGTGATACCCCACTTACACGCATGCACAATTAGATTTCATGATGTCTGCGCGCTCGCACCACTGAGGTGAAGCAGGAATTTGAAGCTGCTCAGTTTCACTCTGGAGTCTGTGGTCTTTACCATTGTGCCAAATTATGCTGGGGCTTTAGGGGTTTTCTGAGACTCTTGGGTCTGTAAGTTAGAATTAAGAAAACAAATTTGGGGGGCGCCTGGGTGGCTCAGTCGTTAAGCGTCTGCCTTTGGCTCAGGTCATGATGCCAGGGTCCTGGGCTCGAGCCCCACATCGGGCTCCCTGCTCAGCGGGGAGCCTACTTCTCCCTCTCCCTCTGCCCCTGCTTGTGTTCCCTCTCTCGCTGTGTTTCTCTCTGTGTCAAATAAATAAATAAAATCTTAAAAAAAAAAATAATAAAACAAATTTGGGGAGTGTGCCTGAGTGGCTCAGTCGGCTGGGCATCCAACTCTTGATCTCAGCTCAGGTCTTGATCTCAGGGTAGTGAGTTCAAGCCCTGAACTGGGCTCCACGCTGGGCATGGAGCCTACTTAAAAAAAATTGGGAATTTTGTCCATTTTTTATGCTTCAATATCATTCTCTTCTCCTCCTTGGGTTAAAATTGCTTATTATTAGACTTCTTGATATTGTCCATAGGCCCTCTTCATGATTCTTAATTTTGTTCTCTCTTTTTCAGATTGGGTAATTCCTACTGATGTGTCTTCATATTGACAGTCTTTCTTATTCTGTCGGCCTGGGACTGTGATGCTTGGACTCAAGCTGTGTGGTCTGCACTTGACCACCTGCACCTCCAGCCCAGCGCCCACACTGCAGGATTTCCCACTGTTCCAGGAACATGCCCATTTCTGCAGCACTGTCCTCACGCCCCCATGGCTGCTTCTGCTTGGAACACCACCCCTGCCCCATCCATGTCACCCACATGCCAGCTCAGCATCGCCTCCACACAGAGGTCCTCAAACCACTTGCCAGCACCCCTATTCCTCTCTACCTGCTGAACCTGTTTTCCTTTCCGGGACTCAGACTGCTCTGGAGTCATTTCATGCATTAACTTTCATGCTCTCGTTTATTCATTGCCCCACAAGGCTCACGAGCCTAGGACGTCTCTGTAGCCAACACACAATATATATTTGTTGCATGAACAAATCCATTATTGTATAGATTACTAGGAGGCAGAAGTTGATCACCTTTCTATAAAGGGAAAATAGTAAATATTTCAGGCTTTGCAGGGGCATGGTCTCTCTCATAACCACTCTGCATTATAGTGCAAGCCCTAGACAATACGTAAGCAAACGAGCATGGCTGTTTCCAATAAAACTTTATTGACAAAACAAGAAGCAAGCCAGATTTGTCCCACAGACTTCCCTGCTTCCCAGTTTACAGATCGCTAGTTTAATGCTTTCCTATACAAAATAAAAGCTCAAAATGCATCATTGCCTCGAAGTCACCACTGAAGGGCATGAGACGAAAAGGAATAAAGGACGCGGTCCTGAGTGGAGCGTGATGTTGTGTGCACATTACTGGCCTGGAGAAATAGCACGAACCCCACGCACAGGCAAACCAGAAGATCCTGTTTACAGAAGAAGAAATTGGCCTCTAAGCTAAATGTGTTATAGTGGAGCATAACACAGGAGAGTGCGTCCCACAGATGTTGGGGGAAACATGGTGGAAACAACTATGAGGAAGTCAACAAGTTGTGCTTCTGTGTTGCCCGGACGCCTAGAGCCCGGGTATAAAGGCTGCCCGGGGAAGGAGCCTCCAGACATCACCGCCCTCCTCCCTGACTCCACTCCAGCCCCACGCCACCATGAGCTTCACCAGCTGCTCCACGGGCTGCCAGGCGTCCTGCTGCACCCCCAGCTCCTGCCAGGCATCCTGCTACGTGCCCATGAGCTGCAAGCCCGCCGTGTATGTGGTCCCCTCCTGCCAGTCCTCTGTTTGCTTGCCCGTGAGCTACAAGCCCCTCGTGTTCATGGCCCCCTCCTGCCAGTCCTCCGGGGGCTGCCAGCCCTCCCACCCCACCCTGCTCTGCAGACCCATCTCTTGTAGCACCCCGTCCTGCTTCTGACCGTGAGCCTCCCACCCAGCTGCTCCCAGGGCACAGGGGGCCACACCTGCTCCCCTCCTGGAACAAGTCTTCAGTGGCCTCCAGGTTCTGCACAGGGCAGATGAAGAACATGCCCAACGGACCCTCTGAAGTCTGTGGCAAGGATGTAGCAGGATGATCTGGAACCCTCTGTGACCCTGCCTGTCCCTTCTGGGAGGCCCTGGTTTCCGGGGTCCTCTGTCTCCAGCAGGGAACCAACCCTGTGTGAGCCAAATAAACCATGCTTTCCTGATACAGCTTGTCCTTCTGGTTTATCTTCATGTATTTTTAAGTTTTTTTCTTGAAGACATATGCAGCCATAAGCAGAGCAGCCCCTCCTCAAAGAGCCCTCTCTCCAATTGCTCAGCTGGAGGTGAGGGGTCCTTGGAGGGTGCAGGGGGAAGGTTCCCTCCCCACATCCACCACCTGAGACTCATTTGTAGTTGGGGAAGGGCAGAGGAAAAACTACCCGCACTGAACAGGGGATGGGAATTGGAGCGCTATGACAGGGAGGGCAGGGAAAGCTCACACAAACCCACCCCAACTACAAAGTGGAGTCTGGCCATTGCCAGGAAGAGTAGCAGGAAGTGAGAAAGCCTCACCCTCCAAGACCCAGGCACATAGGCCCTGCTCAAGACTGACCCAGGGCCAGGGCACCTGGGTGGCTCAGTAGGTGAAGCGTCTGCCTTCAGCTCAGGTCATGATCTCAGGGTCCTGGGATCAAGCTCTACATAAGGCTCCTTGTTCAATGGGGAGTCTGCTTCTCCCTCTCCCTCTGCTGCTCCCCCTGCTTGTGCTCTCTCGCTTGCACGTGCTCTCTCTCTCTCAAATAAATAAATAAAATATATTTAAAAAATAAAAAATAAAAAAATAAGACTGACCCAGGGCCAGGACAACAGAGTCTTCCTGTTCCCACCTCAGCCTGACTGGTACACCTGCAGGAGCAGTGGCAATCCCTGGGGGGAGGCAGGCCCGTGTAGAGGTCCCCTCCGTGTACCAGGCACACAGAGAGAGCTGAAAACTTAGGGCAGAGCAAGAGCACTGTGTCTCTAGCCCTGGCCTGAAGTACATGCCTGGAAACCCACCACAAGGGAATCCAAAGTCTTAGGTACCTTGGAGGTCATCACAATAACAACAAAACCCAAACCAAGGTCAACATCTGAGTAGGTTGATCCAAACTTCCCCTACCACAATGATGACCTGACATAAGAGACTCACCCATTTCCCGGAGGAAACACTGTTTATGTCCATTTCAATCAATACATGATATCTGATATTCAATAAAAAATTAGAAGACATAGAAAAAAGCAAGGAAAAAAGATCAATCTATTGTGAAGGGACAAAGCTAGACTCAAAGCTCAACAAAACTGAACTCAAAAATGACCCAGATGTTAGAGCTCTCAGACAGAAACAGTAAAATAACTATGATGAGTGAAATAAGTCAGACAGAGAAAGGCAAATACAGTTGACCTTGAACAATGTGGGGGTTAGGGGCACTGACCCCCTGCAAGTCAGAAATTCACATATAACTTTTGACTCCCCAAAAGCTTAACTACTAATAGCCTACTGTTGACCAGAATCATTACTGATAACATAGTCAATTAACATATATGTTGTATGTTAATGTATTATATGCTGTAGTCATACAATAAAGTAAGCTAGAGAAAAAATGTTATTTAAAAACCACGAGGAAGAGAAAATACATTTACATTACTGTACTGTATTTTTTTAAAAAAATCCATGCAATTCAAACTCATGTTGTTCAAGGGTCAACTGTACTCTATGATCTCACTTATATGTGGAATCAAAATAATATTAATGATAATAATAATAATAATTCCAGAGGTGGGGGCAGGGGGTGGGTGAAATGGGTGAAGGTGGTCAAAACTTACAAACTTCCAGTTATAAGACAAATGAGTTGGGGAATGTAATGTACAGCATTCCTATAAAAGAAAAACACCAAGTTAATATGTTTAAAGAAATAAAAGACAGAACTATAAATATGAGAACAGAGCAAGAATCTATTAAAATAGAAGAAACAAACAGACTTGAGGGAAACAACGAAAACTCCTAGAAATAAAAAAAATCAAGTAATAAAAATTAAAAATTTAGTTGAAAATTTAAAGAGAACATTAGACACAGCAGAAGAGAGAATTAGAGAAATCAGAAGGCAGATCCAAAGAAAATATCCTAAATGCCCCAAAAAGAGTTTAAAAAGTAGCAAATATGTAAGAGAAGTTAAGAGATGTGCCAAATGATTGGGGGGACATGTGTGGTAAATTCATAAATAAAAGCATAGGAATGATAAATGTTAAATTTAGAATAACAGTTACATTCAGAATGGACTAAAGCATTGAATCATGTGGGGGATGTAAGGCTTCAAATGAATAAACAAATAAAATAACTAAGATTAATAAGTTAAATCATCAAGGGTAAAACATAGACTACATGTAAGAACAGATGGAGAATTTCAGCAGAGAGATGGGTACTATAAGAAAGAGTCAAAAAGATTATGTAAAAATTAAAATACAATATCAAAAATAAATCCCTTCAATGGGCTCATCAGTAGACTTGACACAGCCAAGCATGGAATCATTAAATTTAAAGATAAGTAAATAGATATAGCCCATATTAAAACTCAAGGAGAAAAATAGTAGAGGAAAAAACAAGAATAAAACATCAAAGAGCTCTAGGACAATATTAAATCATCACTAATGCATGTAATTAAGGTCCCAGAAAAACAGGAGAAAAAGAATAAGGCAGAAGAAATATTTAATTTCTTAAAATTTATGAACTTTCTAAAAATAATGAAAGACATAAAATGATAGATCCAAGAAGCTCAGAGCACCTCCAGTAGGACAAATCAGCCCCTGACTCCTACAAAAAATAATGACCTGGATACATCATTAAAATCTGACTATAAAACCAAAAGAGGGGCGCCTGGGTGGCTCAGTTGGTTAAGCGACTGCCTTCGGCTCAGGTCATGATCCTGGAGTCCCGGGATCGAGTCCCATATTGGGCTCCTTGCTCAGCAGGGGGTCTGCTTCTCCCTCTGACCCTCCCCCCTCTCATGTGCTCTCTCTCTCTCATTCTCTCTCTCAAATAAATAAATAAAATCTTAAAAAAAAAAAAAAACAAAAGAGAAGAGGAAATCTTGAAGGTATCTGCATGAAAAAGACATGCTCCATACATAACAAAGATGAGAATTTCTTCAGAGTCTAATTAGAAAGCATACAATTCAAAAGACAATGGAAAGACATCTTTAAGATACTAAAAGAAAAATCTGTCAACCCTAAGAAGGTTTTAAGAAAGCATCTTTAAAAATTAAAGTAAGGGGCACCTGGGTGGCTCAGTCCATTAAGCATCTGTCTTCGGCTCAGGTCATGATCCCAAGGTCTTGGGATGGAGCCTTGCATTGGGCTCCTTGCTCAGCAGGGAGCCTGCTTCTCCCTCTGCCTCTCACCCACCCACCCCCCCCAAGCTTGTGCTCTCTTGCTCATTCTCTTTCTCTCTCAAATAAATAAAATTAAAAAAAAAATAAGTAAAAGTTAAAGTGAAATAAACACTTGCTCAGATAAACAAAAACGGAGAGAGATTAACCAACCACAGACACGCACTACCAGAAATATTAAGAAAATTTCTTCAAGCCTGTGATTGGGAGAGCAGAGAGAAACCTGATGTATGCAAGGGAAAAAATGGCTCTAGAAATGTTTCTAGAGAGAAGCTCAATATAAAAAGCTTTACAAGATAATCGACTGTCTAGAGCAGACACCGTCGCAATGCACTGGGGGTTCTTCACACGTGTAGAGGTAAAGGAGACAGCAGCCCCTCAGACGATGTGACGTGGAAGTACACTGCTACAGAGTCCTGACACCACAGAGGAACGGCATAATAGCATTTGGGGGTAGATCGTGTTCTACTAAAGGTGTAAATTATAAACTCTCCACCAATCCACTTCGAAAAGATGTGTAACTGATGAGGCCAAAAGTAGAGATGAAACGGGATAATTAAAAATGCTAAACCTGAAAAGAAGAGAAAGAGAAAAAAAGAACGGATGCACAAATTGAACACAACCAGCAAGATGGTATTTTACACCTCAGTATATCAACAACTCCCATTAAATGTAAAAGGTCTAAACACCAAAATCAAAAGACAGATTTTTAAATTGGATAAAAAAGCAAGACCAACTATCTGCTATCTACCAGAAATCCCACTTTATTTTTTTTTCAGAAATCCCACTTTAAATATAAAACCATAATTATTTCATATAAATGTGTTTCTATATATGCTTATATACTACATATGTATATAAGCATGATGTGTATGCTTATGTTTATGTATATAGTATATGCATAAGCATAATCAAATATATTGTTGGTATTATCATTTTGAACAAACCATTATGCCAAATCAACTAAAAATAAGAAAAATAAAAGTTATTATTTTACCTCCACTTACTCCTTCTTCATTGTGCTTCCTTAGTTTATATAGATCGAAGTTTCTGACTTATATTACTTTTTTTTTCTCTAAGGACCTTCTTGCAAAGCAGGTTTACTGGCAGAAATTTCCCTCAATACTTATTTGTCTCAGAAAGTCTTTATTTTCCCTCCACTTTTGAAGGATAATTTTGCAGGGTATAGGATTCTTGGGCGACAGGTTTTTCCCTCTCAACACATTAAATATTTCGCTCTCCTCTCTGAGGAGAAGCTCGTGTAATTCTTGTCTGTGGTCCCGTTTAGGTAGGCGTTTTTTTCCTTTGGCTTCATTCAGGATTTTTTTCTTTATCTCTGATTTTCTGGAGTTTGGAAATGATGTTCGCAGGTGTAGTTGATTTTCGCACTTACGCTGCTTGGTGTTCTCTGAGCCTCCTGGGGAGGTGGTTTGCTGTCTGACGGTAGTTTAGGGGATTCTCAGTCATTATTGCTTCAGGTACATCTTCTGCTGCTTTCTCTCTCGCTTCTCCTCTGCTGTTCCCACTTCAC